GTTCCCGTTTATCGCTGTTGTCGGAACACGGTCGAAATATGCAACCGAGCCAAAGTGAGCTTAAGCGCACGAGGGTTGCCGATGTGAGGTTATGTTGCTGCCCGAGACTATGTGGGGTTATGTTGCTGCCCAATGTGACTCCCTTGGTGTAGGTCAAGGCTCCAGATCAACGCTGCCCCAATCACGCACAATTTGCCGATCAAAGCGCGAGCGCGAGTTGGCTCCTTGCACGTTTAAGGGCTGATCCAGAGGTAACTTAAAATATCTGTCCACAGGGTGCTTTTGGGCGTAGCCCGACTCCTTTTGTTGCTATCCCTCAGCTGGCTGAGACCCGCGGCTGGATTGGGCAATTTCAGCAGCGCAGTTGTGGGAACGCCACTTGGGATCCGCGGCCGGCCGAGACTTGGAGTTCGCAAACTGCGATTACACAGCCTGCTGAGACCTCGATCTGGCGCTGCCGGGTAGATTGCAGGAATCTACACAAGACGATTAGAGTAGATCTTGCGTTTGCAGTGGTTTATGCAGTTTTCACATACGTGCGTGCCGCTGATAGGAACTTTCAAGAACTTGCGCGTATTGCGAAGTGTCTAACAGACACGGCGGAATCGATTGCCTTTACTACAGGACTTTGAGCGCGAGGTATATGTTGCTCACGCGTTGACTTTAAACTCTCTGTAAACTATGCGTCTGTTCGCTTGGCTGAACGAATCGTAAAATAACGCTTTGGTTGAGCGGAAATGTTCTATTGGAAGTTTACCAGGTTGCCAGATCGACATTTGACATTTGTCAATTGTCAACGTAGCCAGATCATAGACCAAGGAAACTATCGCTGTTAGGGTTAACAGCACCCTCCTTGCTGTTATGGGCAAGTCTGTTGTTGACGACTGTTAAGTTTGAATTTTGGGACAACTAATTTCGTACCCTCACACTGTTTTTATTCTTATATAGCGCCAAGTGAACATTAACAAGTTCAGCAGCGATCAAACATTTTGGCGACCGTGACAGGACGCATTCAAGAATACGAAAAGGTTGAGAAGTTGGCTTTAGATTTTGGAAAAGTGACCAGCGCATCGCACCGGCCAACGACGGGCGATTTCATCGTCAACCAAATATCTTTCGAGCTAATCACAAACGGAATCCACGGAGACATCAGCAGCATCAGCCTATCTGGAGACAGCCATAATTCACATACTGTTTAAAATAAATACAGTCATACCCAATTTTCTAACGCCTAGCTGCACTTAACGTACAAAGTAGGGTGAATTGATTCTCGATAGTAGAACTGTTGTTTTTCGAACTGTAGACCTCGTTTATCAAGTTGTTAACACATTTTAACAGTCAAGTCTAACGCCATGAGTCCAACTCACAAAGGTGAAACGATGCATTGCGCAAATTCTTGAGTCATAGTTCGGATAGCTACACGAGGGTCTTTGTCATCTTTGAGCAGTGCGGATGATATGAATGCGATAATGATAACCCTGGTTCTTATAGGTTGTCAATGTATCCGAAATCGTTCTTAACTTCGCTGTCAAAGCCGTTTGTTACTAGCCAAGCCAGATGCGTTTTCTGTGGTCCAGCGACTCATTAGATATCTCACTGCAAGTCCTTTTCTAAATTAAATCTAGGTCAAATCAAGGATTACGTTAAAAAGGCACCACTTTGTTCTAACTGCTTACGGAAATCTCACACCCATCGAATTCAAGGTTCAGGTTATGCCAAACGACACATTACACTATTCTGCATGAATTCTCATCAATTCAGCCAGGAATCCCAAAGGTTTCTCTTGTACGTACCGCAAGAAAGACTCTTATACCAACAGCGGTAGTCCATATCAATGATGGAAACGGCTAGTTTCAGGAAAAAATGCGGCGTCAGTCAAGCTATTAGGGGGATTTTGGACACTTTGAGGCAAATCAATTACAACCACGAGTTTTGGGTTTTGAGTGGACATCGAACTTCGCGGTGATCGCCTCCATTTGTGCACAGCAACCGATTGAAAGTGTTGAGGGTGTAGTCCCAGCTGATCCAACATCCTATCAGCCCAGCAAAATCGACTTCCTGATCGGAACTAAAGGAATCTTCGACGCTATCCGAGTTGGAAACATGCCCATGCTCATTAAAACAAGTTTTGGCTGGGTAATTGGTGGAAGTACAAAGATGCCTAAAATCAGCCCTCTCTAGATGAAATCGTTTCCCATTTTTGGAAAGTGGTGGGGTACCAAGCGCCATGACAAACGCTTAGCGAAAAGAAAAAACTCCGCGAACGGCATTACGAAACCACAGTTGCTATAGGATCTAACAATCGCATTACAGTTCGACTTCCATTCAAGGAATCGCCGCAAACGTTAGGCCAATCATACAACATCGACGCCAAAACTTTTTCCCTACTCAAACGCAGACTAAACAGAAATCCCTCGTTAAAAGAATCATATGTTCAATTTATGTGTGGATACATTACCACCACAGGTCATATGTCACTAATAAAAGGCTAGGCAGGTGACCTACGGTGTCTCAGCAACTCCTTTCCTCTTTATTCGTAGTTCGTTTCACGGAGCCAATTTAAACGAACCAGAATATCCTCTCGCAGCCGCAGTATTACGAACTGTTGTGGATGATCTTTTAACAGGCGCAGATGATCTGAACACCGCACTACAAAAGAAGGAGGAAGTCTTCAAACTGCTAAGTAAGGCTGGGTTGACGATCACTAAATTTAACAGCAAATCATCAATATCTGGCAATTCATCAGAAGGCTGGAGGAATTGAAGTCAATGAAAATACTTGGACTAGCATGACAACCATCTGAGGATATATTGGTCTTTTAATTTAAATTCTAGTTTTCTGAGATTTCTACTTGACGGACTGTCCTATCTGAAATATCACGAATATTCGATTCGCTTGGACTTATCGCTACCGTCGTCATGATTTGCAAAACGTTCATTTAGGATCTAGGCACCCGAAAACTATCTTGGGATGAACCAATTCAAAACGATCTCGGTATAAAATCAAATCAAACAAGAAAGGAAAGCTAACTTCGGGCGGAGCCGAAGTTGAAATACCCTTGCAGAATATTCTGCAAATTATATTCTCCAAAATTATTCATTAATACTCATAAAAATCCCAACTTCCTAACTTTAAAAACACCAAAGTTATGGCATTTCCAATCGTTCAGTTATATGGCAGCTAAAGAATATAGTCGGTCGATCCTTATGAAATTTGATATGTCGGATTGATTGGGCAAAAATAAAACCCATAGAAAATCCCAACTTCCTAACTTAACAAACACCAAAGTTATGGCATTCCCGATCAATCAGTTATATGGCAGCTATAGGATATAGACGGCCGATCCTTATGAAATTTGGTAGGTCGGATTAATTGGCCAAATATAAAACCCATATAAAATCCCAACTTCCTAACTTTACAAACACCAAAGTTATGGCATTTCCGATCAATCAGTTATATAGCAGCTATAGGATACAGTCGGCCGATCCATAGAAAGTCCCAACTTCCTAACTTAACAAACAGCAGAGTGATGGCATTTCCGATCAATCAGTTATATGGCAGCTATAGGATATAGTCGGCCGATCCCGGCCATTCCGACTTATATACTGCGTGCAAAGGAAAGAAGGTTGTGTGCAAAGTTTGAATTCGATATCTTTAAAACTGAGAGATTAGTTCGCGTAGAAACAGACAGACGGACAGACAGACGGACAGACAGACGGACAGACAGACGGACAGACAGACGGACAGACAGACGGACAGACAGACGGACAGACGGACAGACGGACAGACGGACAGACGGACATGGCTATATCAACTCAGGAGGTGATCCTGATCAAGAATATATATACTCGGAGATGTCTCCTTCACTACGTTGCACACTTTTGACCAAAATTATAATACCCTCTGCAAGGGTATAAAAATGAAACGGAAAATCGACATAGCTTCATTGATAGTAATATAGGCAAAGGATTCGAAATGTAGTCGTTTTGTAAAAACTGCAAGGGTATACATACCTAGGCCAGCCGAAGTTTGCTTTCTTTCTTGTTTTGTTTTAAAATTTAAAAGACAAAAACCTCGACTGCAGGTTATACACCTATGGGTATTGTATTTGAAAGAAAGTGCAGTCAGTAGGGGCGCTACAACATGTTCGTTTTTGACCAATTTATAAATTTTTACCAATTTATCCGTGACAGGTAGAGGAAAGCGTATTTGACCCTAAAAATTAAATTACGTTTTATTTATTCTAGGTATTGTTCAAAGTTATTTTAAAATATATTACAAAAAAATTAAAAACTAAATATTGAAAAAAGTGACCACTTTTTTAATGGCCATTAACTTTAGGGATTTAATTTGATTCGTGGTCGAAATAAGCTGTGGTCCTTTTAGGTTTTTGTTATTAATTATTTTCAAATGTTTCTCAAACTCTTAAAAATACTATTCATAAATAATACACCATTTTTTTAAATTAAAGGAGTATTCTGCACTTTAAATAGTTTAGTTTTTGGATAAATGTAAATGAAATAAGACGAGTGGGAATGAACGTATACTTTGCAGGGCCAACAACGCTTTATTCGACCTGTTACATACATTTTAACAATTACAATTTATAATTTGTTTAAAATTATGTGTTAAAGCGGTTTACTTTGCCCATGTGGTTATAGTGGGGAAGCACCGTTTTCAAAGGCGTCATCTTTTGAGTGCTAAAATTTTAATTGATTTCCGTTCATACGAAAGGAACAAGAATCGATCATGCTGATTATATAAGAAGTCTAGTATCCAGTACGCAAAGTTGCTAAAGCTGTGTAGACTGCTCGTTGCTTCGAAGTATTTTATGTAATAGCTCTGTCAATTTATACAATTTATTAAAAATATTTTAATAAGAACTATTTATTAAATACATTGGCCTATATATATACACTTATACATTAATGGGTTTTATTGAGCATTACTTTTTCATATATATCATATTAAATATTTTTACTATTGACGTTACCATTAGGTTATGCTATAAATATGTATATTTCATTTAATGAAACTGATATCCAATATAACATTACCTTACAATTTTTTAAAATTATTTCTTACATATTTAGCCGAATAGAGTACACTTTGTTAAATGAAACGCATGCTTTTAATACATTTTACCATGCTCGCCCTTGTAACGGCAAATATCCGCCACATTGCTGCTGATGTCCATTAGAAATAAAATTGTTTTGATTTCTATATGCCATTGCTAAGCTGTTCGACATCAAAGTATTATTGCAGGGTTGCTGTAGCATAGCAACGTTGGAACCTCCAACAGTCCCATAACTAGCGAGTAAAGAAGACGATGTATCTGGCGAGTGTGAGTTTGGAGCATCTCCTGTTATAAGGTTCAGACCACTCGAAACATTGGCAGTTACCGAAACTCCTCCACTATGGGTATTTCCACTATTAGAAGCACCAGTATTATTGCCTGCTGTTGTGGTACCATTTCCATGCGGTTGCGATTGAGCTGAATTATTATTTCCAGAGCAGGGTTTACCGTCCTTAACAAGTACAGGAACGGCAACGCGTCTTGGTGAACTTGCAGTCTAAAATGAAATGTAATAAACAGTGGCAATGTTATATCATTTTAATGTAGTATTGTTAATTAAGTGTGAAATGCTTAAGCCGCATATTTTTCTAAATTAAAAATTTAACTTAAGTTTTATGATCTGTTTTGTATTTCTGATGCTAAAACCGTGCACGCGTATCACAAAAACTTGAAAAGGTCTCAACTGATTTACATATTATATTTTTTGAAATGTCGCTGGTTTAAAACCTGAACATTGGTGAAAGATATTTTTTAATATTTAAATAATAGTAAACGTGTGATTTGCCAGAGTTGTATGAATTTGTGAGATCCACTTGTATTACTAATAGGCAAGTAAAACTTTTTATTGTTTTTTTGTCATTTCGGTCTTTTTTTTTTTTTTTTATTGCACGTCCATTAGTGTTCGATTGCACCTGGTCCTGTCCAAACTTTTAATGTCGACTGGACGCGGTAAAACCACTGGTTTGACAAGAACAAGCGAATAAAGTTTCACCCAATTCTAAACGCATTCGCATTTCGGGTATCGCAGGAGGGATAGCCGAGAGAAGGGAGGTCAAGTACCCACTAAAAGAAATGTCAGACGATCGCTTTCGATGCTGATACACTCGTTAATTGTGAAGAGAACTTAAGTAACTTGTAAGGAAGATTACTATGAAATTTGGTACTTTAAATTTTGAGCAAGTTTTATATCGTTCAGATTGGTTGGTTTCGATATAATTTTTTACAGCTACATTTTACTATTCGGTCTTAAAAATAATTAAGTTTAAATTTAGGTGGATATAAAAATAAATGTCTGCAGATTGCAGAAAATATATACCTACAGAATGCGTATGCGGATGATAGATAATATCTGGTCATAAAATCTTGTAAATTCGTCAAGTTAACAAGAAGTTCCTGAACTCTTAGCATGTGTACTTATAATCGTGTTTAACGAAGTTTAAACCAGTGTTTGGAATTACTACTCCGTAATAGCGAGATGAATACAAATATTGCTATGCTATTGCTATCGCTCTCGCTCTCTTTTTGACGAGAGCCGTAGCAGAGCCATAGCAGAATAACAAGAAAGTTTGTGCTCTGCTCTGCTTGCAGAGCCCAACCAATAAATTCACCATGACGCGAGGTGGATTGCGTCGTATGTTGAGTTCAAGAAGAAGTCCAAGATAAGAAACGAAAGCGAGCAGTCAACGACTGTGCAAATAATTATATTGAACCGAAAAGCACGTGTTATTACTGGAGCGTTACAATGGGTAAAATTTAAATTGCTAAGCGATTTCTGTTACCTGTAGCCTAAATTGCGTAGATGTAGTCATTTTATAGCTGCTTGTGTTTCCGAAGTGACTAAATGTGATTTGTTTGTGTAGTTCTGTTATTAATAAGCTTATGGTGCCAATGCTGACGTTGTGCATTACAATTCAAGGTGCATTGTGAATGGTCGTTCATCGCAGACAGCTTCAAAGAGTTCATTTTCTTGGCTTAATAATCTGTAGCTGATGTTTTGTTAAAAAGCGGAAACAGATGTGGATCTTTGTGGACACCTTCAAGCAATGTCCGAATTGGTCAACAGTGAGTGTGTGCTTTGGGGTATTTAGCTTGAATATACTCCAACTTTATAACTCCCTTCACTCCAAACTTCATAGCTTTCACGGCAATACTAAATGAAATATGACATGGGTCTTCCGCTCCTATGATCACTATTTGACCTCGTAGTAAATAATCTCGAATTTTAACTAGTTGTCCCATTAATTGCTTAGAAGACACAAGTAGTCGGATATTAGTGAGTACGTAAGGTTTTTCCGTTGTAATCGTTAAAGACTAGTAGTCAACAATGTCAATTGAACTGTTTATATATATAATAACAAATTCGGGATTTAGCACTTTGAAAAAAATATAATTTTTATTTATCAAAATAGTGTAAACGCGAACTGGGAGAGATAGAGCTGCGTCTGCAATTTTACAGTATTGGGGGATAAAAGCATTTTGGAGTTTGGGGACATTTGTTTATAATGCAAGAGGATGTTTACATAAATTGGTCAGTCGTGGGAGCCGACAATTTGGGGTTCTTTCATTTGTTTATAACTCAAGAGGATGTTTATATTAATTGGCGACTCTTGGGAGCCGATGATTTTGGGTGTGACAAATGCGTAATGTAAATATGTTTATGTGGTAGGTATGTGGGTGTGTGTATGTTACTTTATGTGGTAGATATGTGGGTGTGGGTATGTTACTTCCCCATCCATTAGAAAAAAGCCTGTCCTCAGGCGGATATATTAGGGTATATGTAAGTGGGTATATTAGTTTGTGTAGTATTTTCGTTTAATTGTAGGGTATTTTCATTTGGTGCAATATTGTTTAATTCTGTTAGATTTTCTGGGTTCTTAGTATTGTTTTTGTTTTAATTTTTATATTTAATTACAATGTTTCTCGGAATACTCTTAAATTAATAGATGAAGTAAATAATTAAAATTATAATTATTACAATTAAAATAGTAAGTATTATAATTTGAAATGTGTTATTTTTTCTTGTATGTATTCTTATTATATCTTTTGCTTCAATTATTGACAGTGGTTCTATCATTGTTACATTATTGTTAACATAAATAGTTTGTGTGTAATCCATTATAGTATTTGTTATTAAGATTTCTTCGATTTGTACAGAACAATTAAATGCTTTTACGATTTTATTTCCTTCGACAACTATTGCTTGATTTATACATGTTTGGTTTAAAATAGTTTTCGGTAAGTTCCAAGTAATTATAAAATTTGGCTTTATATAATTTGTTTCATATTTTTTATACATTTTTGTGTATTTACATTCGGCATTGGCTTGGTTTAATATTCCTATAATGCATTTATTTGTAACTCTTTCTTTTGTGTTAAATAAAAATATTTGATTATTTTGAAAATAATATTTGTCTTCTAAAGGTTCTGTTAATATGTCATTAAATTCATTTGGGTAAGGCAAAATTTTGAATATTGAAGTTTTTATAATGTCTTTTGGGATATGAGAAATTATCAATATTTGATTAGTATTGGTTTGTAAAATGTATTAAAATTAATAAGATGTTGATAGTGTTGATCAACAAGTTAGGTTTGGTTTTCATTTGGCGTGCATCTTGAATTATCGTATTTATTTTCGTTAATTTTCTTTGTTTTCTTATATTTAGACTTATAATGTATTATTTTTCTTCCTCTGTTAACTTCTTCTTAATGATTATCATCTAATTTTGTGATTTTTCCTGTCTTTTTAAACGGATTAGTGGTTTTTGATTTTACTAGTGGAGCTTGTCGATATCTAGTATCAAATTCAAATTTATTTCGGGATTCATTTAGTTTTTCTATTTTATTGATTTTATTTGACTGTGTATTATATTTTGGAGTTCCAGCGAAAATAAAAATATCTGCAGGAGTTCTGCCTGTCGTGTTATGTTTTGTTTTATGATTATAGACATAAAGAATAGTTTCAAATTTTGTTAGCTTATTTTCTATGTCTGTTTCACTGTTTATGATTCTTAACTTTTCATTTACCGTTTTATGAAATCGCTCAACTTCAGAAATTCCATTTTTGCTTGTTGTTATATCAATAACAACATCTTCCGATTTTAACCAAAGTTGCAATGCTGCACACATGAAAGCTGAATCTTTGTCTGCTTTAATTTGGTTTGGTTTACCCATTTCATTAAAAACTTTATATTTTTAATAAAAGTTAATGCTATTTTTGCTTCTAACCAATCTCGACTGTTGACTTCTATTAAGGTGGCAAATTTTGAATAAATGTCTATACAAGATAAAAATTGTTTATTATCTATCATATAAAAATCAATGACATATTTTTCTCTTGGATTAAAAATTTCTGGGGTTATTTCGAATTCTAATTTAGTATTTCTGTGTTCTGTTTTTGCGATGTTGCATACTTCGCATTCATTAATAAAATTTTGAATTAACTTTTGGTGATCGGGAAAATAATATTTTTCTTTAAAAAGTGCTGTTTGTTTTTCTATTCCTGGATGTAATAGTTCTCTGTGTGTTTTAATAATAATTTCTTTGAATTAATATCTAATTAATTTACTATTAGTTTTCATTGTTTTAGTTAAGTTATCTGGGGAAATAATTTCAACGTATGCCTTTTGAAAAATTAAAAAGTCTATTTCAATTGGAAAGTATATTACGCTTTTCTTATTAGAAAAGTATTCAATTATTAATTGTTTTGCGTATTCTATTGTCATCTCTTTATATGTTATTATGATTTTTGTTTTATGAAAATAATTTATTACTTCGACTTCATTTAAGTCTCCTCTTATAAATTCTAATTGTCTGTTATAATAATTCAGTGGTCTTTCTGTTATTGAAATGTGGTTTTGGTTATCTTCTGGTGCACTATGCACTGTAGCTACTGTTGTTATTGTATTTGAATTACTGGAAGTCTCTCCTAAATAGGCTTCCTCTATTCTTATTCTAGATAAGGCGTCTGCCACATGGTTTTCTTTACCGGGCAAATATTTTATTTCATAATCAAACTCATTTAGTTTGATTTTCCAGCGTTGTAATTTCATATTAGGTTCTTTGATATTATTGAGCCATACTAGAGGCCTGTGATCACTTAGGATCAGAAATTTTCTGCCAAAAAGATAGGACCTGAAATATTTGGTGGCCCAGACAATAGCTAAAAGTTCTTTTTCTATTGTCGAATAATTAATTTCGTGTTCATTAAGAGTTCTGCTGGCATAACAGATTGGTTTATGATTTTGCGATAATACTGCTCCTATAGCAATATTACTTGCATCTGTTGTTAATGAAAATGGTTTTTCGAAATTTGGGTATATAAGTATTGGATCGGACATTATTAAAAGTTTATGTTTTTCAAACGCTTGTACATAGACATTATCTTTTATATTTAAAGTTACGCCTTTTTTAAGCTTTGCTGTCATTGGTTTTGCTATTTTAGCAAAGTTTGGGATAAATATCCTATAAAAACCACAAAGACCTAAAAAGGATTTTATT